ATTGTTTTAACAGTTGCAAAAGGTCACCAACCAGAGTAGCTCCCAATCTATCCCCTCTCCCCTCCTTTTTGTTACCTTTATCTCTATAGAACTTTTTTGGTTGAAACTAATCCATGGAATATACACAATTATCCATTGAATGTGAAAGTAGTGAGTACCTGTCATGAAATGCCTCTTCTTAGTGTGTTTTTTTTTTCAATTAACTTTTGTTGGGTTGTGGCATATATTATAATCAAGATGTTGTCATCACAACCTTAATTAAGTTTGACAAATATGCTAAGGCCTTCTCATTTATATTTATTTATTTATTATTATTATTATTTTGTCAATTTATTTTTGTCCATTTGTGAGGATGATAGGTCAATTATATCACTAAAGTTTTTAGAGCGAAACATAATCAATCCATAATGTTCAACATTGAATGATTTTAATTTCACTAGTTGGGATATATTCTCTAATAATGATATTCTTTATCTTGTCGCTTTTGTTTTATTGATGTAATCTGAATGTACTTTTTGCACATTATGTTACATTCACAAATTTTTAATTTTTTTGATTAAAAAAAAAAGTTTCATTAAATAACCTTATTGCTTAAAATTCAAAAAAGATGTTTAAAGTGTTGGGTCATAATTTATTCTATATAATTTTACTCTATAATAGAAGAAGCAGCCACCTATTTTGGCGATAGGAAGAACATGCCAACCAATTTATTTGTTATTCATACCAATTAACAACCATCTTATTTGCTTACTCAAAAATAGGGTTAAAATTTAATTTTTTTTTAAAAAAGTTAATCATAAGCTTTAAAAAAATGATACATCATCAAATATTACCCTAACCTTCAATGTTCAATTAAATCTAAATCTTCTATCTAAAAATAAATAAATAAATCAAAATCTCTATTACCCATGTAAGCTGGGCCTCCAAAGAGTAACCCATGCCCATTTGATATGTTGGCCCACTAAGCCGGTGCTTATTCCCTAATTATCCAATTAATAGTTCATACATAGCTGATAAAAAATTTAAAAATACAAAAATCAATCACAAAATTAACAACAATGCAAGGTGGCCCGAAATTTTATGATTCGAATGGCTCAAATGTCTCAAAACGACATCATTTTAAGTGGTAAAACCACGTCGTTTTGACACATTCAAATCATTCGAGCCACATAAATTCGGGCCACCAAATATTTTTTTCAAATTAAAAATAACATTTTTACATGAGATGGATCCACATAAATTTGAGAGGGTTGTGTATGGTTTATAATTGGTTTCTGTGCCACTAGAATAACTTTACATATCCTTTCAAGATTTTTAGAGGGGTGTTTCAATTTTTTCTTTTTTTCTTTTTTTTCTTTTTCACTATTAAGGTCTTTATATAGCTTTTCTTTTTCCAAAACAATAAAAACAAAAAATAAAATTAAAAGCATTAGAAATTGGTCTTTTATTTTTGAAATCTTAGGCTACACATCAAAATGAAACCTTAGAAATTTTCTTGATAAGTCTTAGGGGGTGTTTGATAAACTGATTAAATACTTAAAATTGAATGTATTAAATAATAATCAATTAAATCCGTTTTGATAATCACAATTGATATTACTTAAAATTTGAAGTTAAAAATCAAAATCAAACCAAGCTTTAAGCCCCATTACTACCACCACTGCCACCATACCAACGCAACTGCCACTGCTATTGACACTGTCACCACCACCACTACCATTATCATCGTCATGCCACCACCACCATCACTTTTATAAATATTGTTAACTTTTTCATATGCACCACCATCATTTTATTACTACCACCATCGCTACCGCTATCACCATCAGTACTATCACCACCACCATTAACACTACTATTACCATCGTCATTACTACCACAATTACAATATAAAAATTAAAATATAGAATTTAAAAATAATAAATTTCAAATTTATTCTTATACATATCAAATAACTAATTTTTAATTCAACACTTAACTTTTCAATTTAAAAAATTTAACATTTAATTTTTATATATTCAATTTTCAATTTTAACTTTATAAAAAATCACCTTAAACAACAGATTAAAAAATCTAAATGATGGAGTCACATCAAAATCTTGAATTAAGAACAACTGTCTCACTTTCTACCCACACAATTTTTTTCTATTGTCACCCCAACAATAGAAAACGATAAGAGAAAATTACCAGGAGTGATAATTTTATAAAATTATTACACATTAATAAAAATAATTATAATTATTAATATTTATTAATTTTTTATAATTTTTTTCATCACTAATAGGTTATTTATTTATTTTCCCAAAGTAGTACTAATCATTTTCATGCAATGCACATTTTAGATGTTCTATTACATTTCTCTATTCAAGTCTATAATGCGACTAATTTGCACATTAAAAAATAATAATTTTCTTTGATTTTTGGGATGAAAATTTCACCAGCTCGTTCTAGAACTTTGATGACTTGTCCAAATTGCATGACAAACTTTGACATCAAGTACTAGTCAGTTTCTGGTTCAAAAAAAAAAAAGTACTAGTCAGTTCGCATGCGGCTTGTTTCATGTATGGAATTCCGTGCACTCTTCTGGTTTAATCTTCAAAATCTACTCTTTTATTAAAAAAATAAAATTTAAAACTAATCTAATAAAAAAATTAAAAACATTTCTCTTTATTTTATTTTATGGAGGGTAAAAATAACTTTTGATATTTATTCCGTCAAACTAAATTTTATTTTTCAAAACAAATTAAATAAATGAATTTTGATAGTCAAACCAAAGATATATCCATTTAAAAATTCAAGATTGATTTCTGAATATTAACAGAATAAAGTAGACAAAAATACTAGAGATTTTAAATATTTTATCAAATCTTTTGTCAAACATTCATATGAATACGAGTTCCATACCTATATGAATAATTGATAAAAAAATTTAATAAAAAATTTTATATTCCTAATATTTCTCTGCAGTGGATGCTAACAAACCTCAAATAAAACTCAATGGAATATGTCTGTGAAGGTGATAAGTAAAAAAATTATAGAGATGATGTACAATTCGTAAAAAGCTTCTCAGAAATAGTACTTCTCAAGAACTCAACTTTGTTTTATTTATCTTCTAAACTTTCTTTTACATCTTTACACATAAGTTGAATTATATTAATAGTCTCTATAGTTTGTGATTTGTGTCACTTTAGTTTATGACTTTTTACTTTTGACATATTTTATCCTGAATTTTGAATCTTGTTTCAAATAAGGACAATTGAATATATCATTAGATTTTTTAAGGGTAAAATCGTCAATTTGATAAAATATAAACTAATTTGACAAAAATAAATGTCAAACAAATATTTTGAATTTTTAAAAATTATTTCTACTCACTAAAAATAAAATTATGTAAAATTGATAAATCTTTTAGACATTTATTTATTTTTTTTACCAAATTAATTCTTATTATGTGTTTGGATGATGATTATATAAAATTAATTTTTAAAAATTAATCATATAATTTTTATTAATTTTTATCAATTTTACATAATTTTATCATTGGTGGATAAAAATAATTTTTAAAAAATTAAAAATATTTTTTTGACATTTATTTTTGTCAAATTAGTTTATATTTTATTAAATTGACGATTTTACCCTCGAAATTAAATAATGGTATCTTCAATTGTCCTTATTTAGAACAAGATTCAAAATTCAGACTTAAATATATTACAATTAAAACGTCAGAGGCCAAAGTAACACGAGTCCCAAACTATAAATACTAATTACACCCTTACACTTGTCTACAAAATGATCACCTCTCTCTGTCTATGCACATGAAAAAGTCTAACAATACCAAAAATATTCCCAAAATCAAACCCATATGTGAGACAAAGAGGTGGATTCCACATGTGTTGGTCTCATTTTTTTCTTTCTTTCTCACATCTGTGAATAGATTTGTAAAATTTAGACCTTTCAATACATCTAATTTAATTACTAAAATTTGAATTAATTCCTACCACTTCTCTATGTGAGTCATCACAACTCATTTTGCAGTTGAAAGAAAAAAACTAAACTTCTGCTCTTGAAAATAACAATTAAATAAACCAATTCATATTAGAGTAGTGTTTTCTACAACTAATTGGAATTAACCTAATCTTGAAATAAATAAACTATCAGTCACATATTAGGCATGTAATTGCATGGGTCCGGACTGGCTCCAGTTTAGATTTAGGACAGTCTGGTCTAGTTCATCCCATTGGGCTCATTATTGGGTCCATTTTCGATAATCAGAACCATTCACATTTTAAGATTTGTTGAGTACGTTATTTCTATAAAAAATCATGTCGATTGGAGAACGGATACTATAGATTCATGTTACTTTTGTTTTAAAAAAATGGACGGCCAGAAAATTAGCAGTTCATAAAAAAGTTATCCGAATACATAGTATCTATTATCCGATTGACGCGATTTTTTACAAAGATAATGTACTCAACAAATTCTAAAATGTGAACAATTCGAATTATTGAAAAATGACCCAAAAGTAGGCCCAATGGGCCGGACTGGACCCTCCAGTCGACTAGAGGCAAGCCCCAGCCTAATTTTGCATATAACACATCAAATGGTCAACCAGCTTGACATAAATGGAGGTATTAGTTAACTTACCTGGTAAAACCTTTTGCTTTTATCTGAATTGTAACATACCCATTTGATAACAACAGCAAAAGTAATATAAATATTATGACATCATGCTTGGCTCATCATAATGTAATATATCATTAATTTCTTGTATATATTTCAAGTATAGTATTTTACAGGTATAAAGATCAAACAACAATTCTTTTACTTACACATAAATCTATCCTTGAATTGGACAACAAACAATCCTTTTTCTTATTTCCTACAAACAAACAAACAAACAAACAAACAAATAAAACCTAATCTAAATAAAAAATACAAGATCAAAAAATAAAAGAAATGAAATTGAGCCACAATTACTCTCATCTCTATGGTTGATATCATAAATAACAATGAATCATAATGTAATAAATCATCTCTCTTGTGTATAATATTGCATGTATAGTATTTTACAAGTATAAAAACCAAACAAAAGCAACGCTCAATCTGCCATTGAGATCCTTATTTCCTATAAAGAAACAAACAAATAAACCTAATCTAAATCTAAACACAAGATCCAAAAATTTTAAAAATAAAGTTTGAGCCTCAATATCTCTGTGGTTGCTATCATAAATAACAATGAATGAAAGGAACAAATTCTAAACCATTTTCCAAAGGCGTCAAGTTCAAATCCAAACACACAACTCTGTTAGTACTTGATTTCTTCACAACTGGTAGTTGTTGTTGTGACTGTGATGAAGATAAAGACAGCTCGGTAGAATGGCTTTCGCTCAAGGCGGTGGTGGCGGCAGCAGCCCTGTGCCGCCTCATGTGGCCTCCCAAGGCCTGCCCTATGGCAAACTCTAGGCCGCATATCGAGCATTCGTGGGTTTTGGGCTTAGGCGGCGAGCTCTGGGTAATTATATTCATGTCTCCTCCTCCCATCAACCTCGGCTTCTTGTGGCTAGCCCTATGGCCGCCAAGGGCTTGGAACGATGGGAACTGGCGGCTGCAGGTCTTGCACTCGAAGACGCGGCTGGGGGAGGTGGTGGTGGAATCGGAGATGGTTCCAGTGCTGCGGGAGAGGAGCATGAGACAGTTGGCCATGGTGGTTATGCTGTCAAGCTCTCCTTCTCTGCCTCTCTTCATGCCTAAATACACCATTGAATAGAGGGGGGATTTTTTCTTGCTTGGAGGCTAGGGTTTTTTGGGGATGTAAAAAAGGATGTGTTTTGTTATGAGAGACAAGTAATACAAAGGGAATGGAAAGTGAGATTAGCTGAGTTGTATATTTATAGGTTTTAGCAAGTTGGCAAGTGAGACTTGTTGAGTTGACCAAAAATTGGCTTAGCTTGGCTTTCTTGTGGGACAAGGAAGTGAGTATGAATGAAGGTCATATGGTGCAAAATAATAACAAAATAAATAACATCATAAAATGGAATTTATATATATAATTTGTATACAAAATTATATGACTCATTTATATTAAGGCCTCGTTTAGAAAGTTGGTTATTTTAGTAGATTAAAATATTTATGTTTAGAAAGATGGTTATATTTTTTTATACTTGAATGTAATTTTTGCGAGAGAAAAAGTAACATGATTATGGGTTTAATGTAACATTTTTTATTGACTATTTTAGCTTATTTTATCTTTTTGTGAATTTTAAACCCTCCCCCCCAAAAAAAAAAAGCCTTTACCAAACAAAACCTAAGTAATGTTAGAGATTTCTAAATATTATTCTTAAATTTATTTACACTGATTTGGTAGGGGGATTGAGTCTTAGGTGGCTAATTCCTAAATGAATCAATAATTGATATGCAAAAAACTACATTATTGAGGCTCAATTTAAATCTAAATTATTTTTTCATTTATGCTTATTCATTGAAAATTAAAATATTCATCAAAACAATTCGCAATTGTAAAAATATCATTGTCATTTTACTGTAAAAAAAAATCGATATATTTAATATTTTTCAAACTTACAATATTTTTGACAGAAAACAATACGTAATAATTTTAATGAGGGGTCTTTTTTTTTTAATTTATCAATTTTAAAATATTAAGTAAAGTATATGAAGTGTGAATTAATGAACCGTCACCGAACACGTAAGCATGACCGCGTAGCTTGGCTAACACACGGAGCTGTGGACGAGTCACGAGTCGCGACTGGCGAGCCAGAGCGAGTCTTTGTTAGAATCTTCTCAATATCTAGAAGAGTAATAGTATATATGCGGATCTCTTTTTAGTTTCTTTAGTAAAAAGGGCATATGTGGGGTTTCCATGACCACAAAGGCTAAAGTCAAAATAGTATAGAGAGTCAGCATGAAAACATTATGATTTTAAAACAAATTTGAAATAGTGATAAAGGTGCCAAATATTTTATTAAATGTTATATATAAATGTGAGATTTATATGAGATTTATCTGGCATGGATCTCACACTTATATTCGACATTTAATAGAATAATTAGTAAAACATTTTAGTCTTTAGAATCCCTAACATTTTTCATAAATTTTTCCAATCATATTGTGCTACTTTGATATCGTTGGCTGATTTGTGTATTCTGGAAAAAAAACAAGAAAAAATACTTTAATATTTCATGTTTCAAATTTTTTTCATTTACTTTCAAAATTAGTTTCTATTAAAAATTAGACAGAAAATTTCACAATAACTGTCATATAATATAAAAAATAAATTATTATATTGGGATTTGAATTTGTATTAGAAGTGTGAGTTATATATAATAAAATATTTTTATATCATGTGATTTTTAATGTGTAATTTATTCCCCCAAAAAATAGAAAACCATCATAATTTAAAATCTAAAATCAAAATTCATTTATAATATGACCCTATACTTTTGATTTGAAATTTTGAATTATTTTTCTAGGTGCATAGACTTTTCCTTGCGCATCTAGATAATTGTTCATTAGTGTCAGAATTATTTGGTTTTGTAGACCTTGATAAATACTATATATTGAGTATCCAATGGAGGGTTTAGAGGCCTCTCCCCAAGGGAGCGGGTTATAAATAGTAATCTTTTGGTAATTATTTAGTAATTTCATGTTACTTTGATTTCTATGTTTATTATAAATAGATGAAGGGAGCGACTCTTTTATTGTAGAGAGTTGTAATTATTTTCTGATCATAATAAAAACTCAATAGTCTTAGACGTAACTCTATTATGGAGTAAATCACGTAAATTTTTATATTTTTATGTATTTGTGATTTTTAGATTCGTTTATTTTTTTTAATTATTTTTTGTATCTCACCGATTCTGATTAGAAAGTGAATTCCCTAACAATTATTCCCATGGCATTTTTGACTAATAACATAACGGAAACTTTAAAAATAGGAAAATGTCGACACCTTTTTGTTAAATAATTAAAAAATAAAGAATAACTCACTTGATATATTTTATAATTTAAATTAATTAATAATTTCATATTTACATCTTGAAACAATTTGTGTTTGTGCTTGTGTAGTCTAATTTTCTTCTTCACCGAGTGGTTAAAGTAAAGCATTTTACGCGGCTCGTGAAGGAAGTCACCTTCCTATTTTCACACAAGAAAGCACACCTGAGAGTTACAGATCTTACCCGCGTCTTCCACGTGTCAAACAATTTAGATAGGTCCTACAAACCTACTTACCAATGGCAACATAAATAAAAAAAATCTCAATTATAGAAGCGAAATTGCTAGAGATAATAAAAAGTGTATCACGAAAATATTTCTAAACAATTATTGGAAGATCGGAAAAATTTATGGCAGTATTTGGTAGAGTTTTTAAAATATGATTTGAGAATATGAGTTGTATTTTGAGTTTGTGAGTTTTGAAATTATGATTTGAGTGTGAAAAATTTGTTTAATGAATGAGTTTTGAAAAGAATTTTGAATTGAGTGGGAAATTTTTAATGTGATATGATATTTGATATAAAAATTTACAACTTATAACCAAGTACACAACTCAAAATTCTATTCAAAACTCATAAAAAATTTGAAGCAATTTCAAAATTTTTTTATTTAAAATATAAAAAATAACAGGTGGCAATTGTAAAAAAAAAATGCACTGTTCCAGTCAACTGCCCGGATGTCGGGGAGGACAACCGGTTAGCCCAAATTTTCCTGCCTTAGACAGAGTTTTCAAAAGTGAATATGGAATTAATTTTTGAAAACTATAAACAAACATCACGTGCAAATCAAAAGGTGGAACTAAAATTTCAAAATTCTACTAAACAGAGCCTAAAATTAATTGGCCAATTCACCATAAAAGACTTTGTTGGCACCATTAATTTGTAATTTTATTATTTATTATTTATATAATTACAGGACATGTGGCATCCTCCTACTCATTTGGAAGTTATGAGAAGTTATGAAATGCGGAAAGATGATAGAGAACAAAGTGAAGAACATAGAGCATGAAGTAGAGGTTGAAAGAAGTTATGGAAGATCATAGAATATGAAATGAAGGGACTGGAAGAGTGGGTAGTTTTAAGTAATTTTTTTTCTACAAATGTTTGTCTGTCATTCATGGCTACTAGGGGTGTTCGCGGATCGGTTTTGTGCGGTTTGTGGTTCAGTTTTGACCCGCCCGCATCTATGCGGTTTGAGAAAAAGTCAACCCTCAACCGCCCGCAGTACGGTTTGCGGTTTGTGCGCGGGTTGGGCGGATTGGGCGGTTTGAGCGGTTCGGATAAACCGTTGCCCACCCCTAATGGCTACATTGTAAAAAGCCCATCCAAAAACTCAAATCAAAGATAATTGATTTATATTTTTCTTGTTATTTATATTTCATGCATTTAATTTTCATTTTCCAAGCATAGGAGTAGAGGTAAATTTTCTGTACTTTATTTTAAGCACTTCTTTTTCAAAGCATAGGAGTATAAGTAATTAATGGTTACTTTGATTGTTCATTCAATCAACCCGATCGTCCACTCAATCATTTTTCTCCGTCTCCCTCCTTCTTCTTTTAATTTTTCTTTTCCCTGCACTTGACAATTTTGAAATCCTTTTCGTTGAGGCAAAAAAAGTGTCAACACAATTACTTGATAATTAACTTGAATTTAATCTGTAAGGATTTTTCAATCCTTATTGGCACGCTCACTTTTATGATATTTTCTTTCGTAGGAAAAATAAACCAACAAATTTCAAGATAATTTGTGTGAAAGAAAAAAAAAATCCGTGATTCATAACATTGTTGATTATAGAAATTATCTATGTGAAACAAAATGTAAACATAATATTCACCTATACATATGTGAATATTTTTATCACATCAATAATTTTAGTCATTAAGATATTCATTGTTCGTATCACGGTTACACACACAATCTAATATCACATAAAAATATACACAGGTGCTTCTTCTTTTTTTTAATTTATTTTTTATGGCAAATTACAAATACTTCCCTCGAGATTTGGTGAAAATACAGATTCTTCCCGGAGGTTTGAGAAATTACATTCCACTCCCTGAGGTTTATATTTCCATAACAAATTGTCCCCTGAGGTTTTTATTTTCATACAGATTTCTCCCTAATTTCTCTTAATTTGTCATGAAAATTTGAACCTTAAGAAGTAATTTGTAATTTCTCAAACTTCAGGGGAGAATCTGTATTTTTACAAAACCTTGAGAAAGGTGTTTATAATTTGCCCTATTTTTTATGATCAAATGTACAAACTAATTTACGTATATCTCGACTCATCTCGAGATATACACAAAATGTTTACTCCACCTAAATCGGACAAATTTTAAGTAAAGCTCGCAGATGTATCCTCAAGAAAATGCTAACCCCATAGGCGCTTAGGGTTGTAAGGTTGTGACTTTGTGAGGTGTTTGAAAGATGGGCATGAAACATGCTATCATTTTATCAACAATGGAGTAGTTGTTGGGTTGTCAGACAACACTTGATTTTCCATTAGAAAAAAAGTGTTTTTGATTTGTGAGAAGGGCTTTATTTTTTTGATAGTAGTACGGGGGGCGGGGTGGTTTAACAAGACCAACGCAACTACTAGGCGGCTGGGTTAGTCAACTAATGTTTTCACGTTTCGTGTGTGCATTCATTCACTTATTTTATCTCCATTTCTCAATAACCGCGTGTTTCATTTTTCCTTTAATATATTACTACTAGCGTTATATTTAGTATTCATTGAATAATTTATTATGACTTTCTTAAGAAACTTCTTGTTTCATTTTAAGTCTAATTTTTTTAATGAAAAATGAGTGAAATCATTAAAAAGAGGAGCATTAATAGCTCTAAAGTGGTGTGGTCC